CCATTTGCGCCATCATTTCGGTGAACATCCGGCCCAGGACGCCGGCCTGCCAGAGGCGCACCCAGAGCACCTCCATGCGCGGCAGCAGCGGCGAGCCCCGCGCCACGGCGAAGTAGTTGGACGGGTAGGTGGTGAAGCAGCCGGTGCGGGGCAGGCGGTACATGACCGGCTGCCGGTCGGCTAGAGGCAGGAGGGTTTGTCCAGAGTCAGTGACACTGGCACCCCCGGCCTCACTCAGTCTCGCGCCGGCCGTAGCCGTGCCCCGAGGAACTCACCTTGTATCTTGTAGGCCCCCCAGTAGTCGGCCATAGCGTCATCCAACAGCACGATGCGGCTCCCCCACTTCAACGCACCAACGTCTCCAGGTTTGCGCATGCTGGCAGACAGCAAACCGCGGTCCACGAGGACGCGCAGCGAGGCGTTCTGCGTGTCCATCATGTTGTACAGGATGACGCTGGGCATGCTGACGGGCAGCCCCGTGTCGATGAGGTCGTCCAGCGAGAAGAGCCCCACGCGGTTGGTTCGCGACACGATGCTCCACAGCTTGGCCTGGTACGCGGTGCTGGTGACGAGGGCCGTCAGGAGCCAGGCTCCGTGCAGGATCCTGGCGACGTTGGACGACGGCCGCGCCCGCGCCCCAGACAACCTCACCGAGGTGGGCTGCCCGATCAGCGCGACGACCACCACGACCACCACCCGGCCCACTGGCAGGCGCGCCGCGCGCTCGCCGCCCATCTGCAGAGGAAATGGGCGCTACGGCTACACAATGCGTTTAGAGCTGGAGGGTCGCTGTATGGAGGGACCGCCATGCGACTTACCAGCACCAGGGCGAGCACCGCGAGAGCCACCATCGCCACCAGCAGCAACCAGAGGCCGGCCGAGAAGCTGGCCACCACATTCCACAGCCCGCTTCGCTCGACGTTCCCCACCGAGGACGGCACCAGCTGCGCACCGGCAAAGACAACGGGTTGAAGGGAGAGGGAGAGGAGCCGAAGGGTGTACATCGAGGGAGCTACCCCTTCCTCACCCAGACGTAGCACTCGGACAGCGGCACGCTGGCCCAATCCAGAACCTTCCATCGTTCAACGAGGGCTGTGATAGGCCCCACAGTCAGCTCGGTCCTCCCCTGGTGACAACATTGGGGTAGGTTGCGCAGGGTCAAGGTCAAGGAGTCCGTCGGAGGTCGGGTTGTCGGGTCGTCGGGTACGCACCGTCACGGTATCGCCGAGCTCGCGAGGCAGGGTGACGCCGCGGTACTTGCCAAACTTTTTCTTGTCAGTGCTCCACATCTGCAGCTTGAAGGTGGCGTTCATGGCGACGCTCATGGCGTCCAGGACTCGGCCCGTGAATCCTCCCGGCCGCGTCGTGGGGTCTCCGGCTTTGTGGATCAGTTGCATTGTCGGCGGCGCCAGAAAAAATGCAGTGCGGAGCTTGCAGCCGTTAAGCGTGTACCTATAACCGTGATGTATCAAATCAATGAGACAAGTGACTCTGAATTTTGTTCCGTGGAAACCACAATAACAGGACTTTAAAAACAGCAAAATATTCGTGTTATGAATTATGTAGCGGAACGCTTGTTAAAAACATATATGTACGAGAGTATTTTTATCTTCGATTGTTTTATTAACTGTGTGATTTAGCACAAACATTAACTTTACTCAACAAATTCTGATAATAAATGCAAAAATGCCCACTGTTTCGGGTTGTCGAACTGCAGCCGGCGAGGATGGAACCCTCCGCCGAGCGTCCAGGAGGCGAGCGTGACCGGTGTGCTGTTGAAGCAGCCCCGACGGAGCGGGTGCACTCCGTGGAGGCTGCCCTCGGTCGCGCCCTGGGACACGAACACTACCGTATTCCAGCGGCCGGCGCGGACGGCGGTGCGTAGCACGCTTCTCAGGGCGCGCCCCTCGTCGGCGACCTGGAGGAGGGTAGGATAAGGTCGAGGACACAGACACGGCGTCAAACCCACACAGGACAACGCACCGGCAGCGGCCGTCGGAAACAAACGGCCAGCACGCCGGCGAGCTGCGGGCGAGGGGGCAGTTGGCGCACAGCGGCCAGGAACTCGGAGGGCTCCTCCAGGATCAGCAGCGCGTAGGCGGCCATCCAGCCGTACTGGAGTTCGTTATTGACGACGACGGCCTCGTCGTCTTCATCGTTGATGACGCTGTCGTCGTCGTCGTCGTCGTCGTCGTCATCGGCTTGCTGCGGCGGCCGACGCCACCCGCCCTCGCCCACCGGAAGCTCCCCGCGCGGGGCCGCCCCGATGAGCAGGACGGGTGACGCTGACGTCCGCCCGAGGAAAGTGCCTAGCCACTTCGCCGAGCCGAGCACCGTCACCAGCCGGGCGTCCTGGCGGCCGCGCGCGGAAGCATGAGGACCGGCTCCGCGGCCCGCGGTAGATAAGAACACAACGTGATAAGAGCCGCAAACTTACCGCCATGAACGTGGACACAAAGTCCACCGCGATGCCGAGGCTGGTGAGGTCCTCGTCAGCCGTCTTCGGAACCAACCGGGTGGTCCCCCGAGCGAACAGCATGGCCACAATCACCATGCCCCCGGGCGTTCTCATGTCACCTTTCCTTCCTCATCCTGGCCGCTACCAAAGGCCGGCTGGCCTGAGCGTTGCAATATATACTTCCGTGACTATTCGACCGGGGATTCCCCCCCCCCCTCACCCTCTCTTCGTCGCGGACACTACTTCTGACTTGTCAATGCAGCGACACTTACAGAGAGGGCGGTTGTACAACATTCGATCGCTGATAATGGGAGGGTCGGAAACAACACCAAAGCGCCAGGGAGCGAGGTAGAGTTAAATTAATGTTTAATTTACTTGTGATCTGTCCGTGACAGGCGCAAAGTGGAGAAATGTACAAGTGATCGTTGGGTGAAGTAGAAAAATATCATTATACGGAGAGCCGCAACAGGCGAACTCAGTTTAGCATCAAACCGATGCGCCGTGCTTCTGCTTTATCAGATCGGACGCTCTCTCTGCGATCATGACGACGGGGGCGAGGAGGTTGCCCGTCATCGAGTCCGGGATCACGGAGGCGTCGACGACACGCAGGTTTGTGGTACCGCGCACCACCAGATTCGGGTCGACGACAGCCGTCGGGTCGGACGGCGCGCCCATCCTGCACGTCCCCGTCGAGTGGTAGATGGGGAACGTGACGGTGCGCGCCAGGCACTCGAAGTAACGGCGCCCGAACCACGGCGTCACCAGCGCGCATTGTGGCAGCACCATCGGGGCCCACCTGGCGGAGAGAAGGATGGAGTGGTCAGGGGACAAGCATGGCACCCTCGCTGCTGTATAAGGCGACTCATTGCGGCCTCCCGGCGGGGTGGTAGACCACTGGCCTCGGAGGCGTGCGTGCTGCGTTGCCTACCCCGCTGGTCACAGGCGCCCTGCGGCAGGGCTCTGCTCACCCTATCGCCCGGCGGGGTAGGCCACTGGCCCCGGA